AAAAATATTTAATTAATAATTATACATATAAAAAAATTTAAATATATATTTAAATTAAAAAAAATAAAATTAATATAAAATATTTATATAAATTAATTATATAAAACTTATATATATATATATAAACCAACTAATTATTTGTTATAATGCAAATAATAAATAATTATCTCGTATTTCCGAGAGAGACTTTTATATATATCCAGCATGAAAAGGGAAAAACATACAAATCTTATAGTTAAAGCCTGGAAAGTGGAAAAATAGCTGGTGTTGAAGATGACAATGCATGGAAATTCGGCACAGAGAAGGTGCAGGCGAGCGTGATCATAATTTGCTAGTTTGGATCAAGTGGGAAGGAGTGTATACTCCAGAGCAGCGGTTCGGGCGGCACTTTAGATACTCGCCACACCTTAACCGATTTGTCCAGGCTGCTGCTGTAGAGGAGGAACGTGGCGGCACAGGCGGCGGATGAATATCGTTGAGAGGATGATGAATGGTCTAGGTTTAGGTCTAGGCGGGAAACACTATCATCCCGATCCCTGTTATCCTCCTCCCCAATTGCAAGACACTTCACTGTTCCCGAGTGACCGGTGAGAACAGAGAGGCAGGAGTGCACGCCCGCCCCCTCCCTCCTCCACTTAAAGATGGTTTTGTCAGCTGATCCACTGAGGACCAGCCTGCCCGCTGCCGCAAGGCACAGTACCGCCAGTTTATGACCACTCAGCACCCCACCATGACTGAACAACTGCAGCTCCCCCTCCCACTCCCAGAAGTTGATCAGCCCATCTGAGGAGGAGCTGTACACGACCGGAGTCCTGGGGCTGATAACAAGAGCTGTGATGGCGTTGTCCTGCTTCAGCAATATTTGAGCCGACTTGTGCCTGCATCTATTGCCTTGCAGCTCCCGCCGCCACAGCTTGACGCTGCCATCGGCCGAGCCGGTGAAGACGAAGCTGTTGAAGCTAGCGGCCACCACAGAGTTGACGACGTCATCGAGTGCAACCACGGACTCGAAGCATTCAATCCCATGAACCGGAGTAGAGGAGGCCCTGCTCTTCGCAGAAGCTGAGGCAGGACACGGTATCGCACTAGCGAATCCAAAGAGCCCTCTGACGGGGGTGAATCTCCTTGTAGTTTGATGGGTTGAGGGAGCACTTTATCAAGTCTTTGAGACAAGGTAGGCTGCCTGCGCGCTTGTAGGCTGAGGTATCCTTGGAGGATATCCGCCAAACCCGAATCTTTCCGTCTTGATGCCCCGTCAGGATGCAGTCTCCGCTGGCAATAATGATGGCCTTAACGAGACCGCTGCTGAACTTGAAGGCGGCGTAATCCTTCTGGTTCTTCCACACCCGAATCTTTTTGCTATCCGAACCGGTGTAGAGCAGAGGACCTGCAGCAGCTTTTTGCTATCTGAACCGGTGTAGAGCAGAGGACCTGCAGCAACTAGAGAATAGATGTGACCTTCCTCCCGAACGAGGGAGCCGATAAGGCTAGTCACGACGGCTTGCTTTGGGGCGCTAGGGATTGAACTCGTAGACCAGCTGCTAGAATCAACACAGGAGCCGCCTATGATGAGGGCGGGCGGAATGGAATGGTGCCACGGGGACATGTTGAACGGGGAGCACTCCCCGCTTAGAGGGTTGCTGCAACGGTTCCAGTAGGACGAGGAAGATGCGTAGGGGGGCAGCTAGCTGCCCCTGTACACTAGTGATGATGAGCTGTTGTTATCCCTCCCTGTCTATCGACGAAGTCGTCATCGAGTAGTCCTCCGACGAAGTGATCAACGACTTATTATGAGAATATTGCGTAATTTCCGATATCAATTGATCAATTACACTTCGATGCTGCAGGAATCAATTTTGTATGAATAAAAAGATAGAAGGTTGATTGATGGATTAAAGCTTGAGAGCATGTTTTCGTGGCTAAAGACGAGGGGTTTTACGAGGGAAGAAATAGTGGGCAATGTAAAAGCTCTCCCTTCCTGGTCTTGCATGTCGGGCAACCCATACAAAGAACATCTGAAACTGGTGGTATCTCCGGCCCTGTAACGAATCTATATTAAAATTATATATTAAAAATATATATTGTTATATTGTTATATAGATAATTAATTTATAACAATATAAAATATAAATTTAATTTTATATTTATATAATATATATATTTTTAATTTTCTTATACAAATATAAAATATTTAATTTATAATTATAGATATAACTATATATATGTTTAGGGTTTAGGGTTATATGTGTGTGTGTGTGTGTGTGTGTGTGTGTGT